TAACAAGTGAGCAAGAGAGTAAGTGAGTCCTTATCATTATTACTAGCGTATCTACCCGAACAGCTGGAGGCCGAGTGGGTATGTCTACACGTACCTGTGACGTAGGCTAAAACGCGAATACTGTAGTAAGCGTGACGAAATGAATTGCAGATCCGCCCTTTCTGCCTTTCGGCCTTGCCGTGGGCTAACTTCACACAAGGTCTGTGCCTCCCGCGCTTTCCGACGAATTGATCCAGACGGGAGGCGCGGCTTCAGCATCCTCCATTGCCAGACCCTGCATTGGCTCTATTGCACGTGGTAATCTGTGTTGGAACCGATTTGTGTTGCGTCAGTCTCGTCTTTCACTCGCTGTCCAATATCCCCAAGTACAACACAAGCCACGGCTACGTGCAGTTTCATGGGAAGTGAGTAGTACCTGAGATCTTGCTTGCCAATTACACCATGAACAACGAATCGACACGGCCTTCCAATGGTCGGCATCACAGCCAAAGGCAGAACAACGAATTGGCCAATGAGGAGATCGGCCTGGACGAAATTCGGGCACCCCCACCTGATCGAAACCTTGACCATGGCCCGAGACTTGAGTCCAACCGAAGGTCTTCAGCGGCAAGAGACACCGAAGAAACCACTCTATCCAGAGAAGAGTCGGGCCTCGATGAGCTCTTCGCCCCCCCACCCGACGAGAACCCAAGCGAAGACGAAGCCTACCGACATGACGATTTGGAGCATCGTAGCAATAGCAAATCGAAACACGAGGAATCTGGGAGCGCAGATGAAGTCACAAAGCTATCGCGCTTCCTGGTACAATTATACATCTACTCCTACATCATATGCTTTTCTATCTTCGGCGTGCTTGCAAGAATTGGCTTGCAGTCCTTGACGCTCTATCCCGGGGCATTGATACCCAATACGGACCTATGGGCGAATTTTGCTGGCTCTCTCATCATCGGATATTTGCGAGAGGACCGCACTCTCTTTCGCAGACACTGGCAGAAGGCGCAGGGCGAACATGACAAGCGCGCGGATTCATCGGAAAGGCTTGAAGGATCACGCAGCGACAGTGGAGAACAATCGGCGGACGGACGAGGAGCCGCAGTCGAAGCTGCATTTCGCGCTTCTCGAGGTCAGGAGCCTGGATACCTCGGTCTTACTGTTGGCTTCTGCGGATGTTTCACTTCTTTCGCATCGATATGTCGGGATTCTTTCCTGGCAATATCAAACGACATCAATACGGATGATGTTGCGAATCACTTCGTGACATCTTCGGCTAGGAGTCGCGAGGCAGGCTACAGCGTCATGGCTGTCCTCGCCGTGCTTCTCTTAGAGATAGGATTGAGTATCATCGCCTTAAAGATAGGCGCACATCTGGCCGTCTTGACAGAACGGTTGGTCGAAGACGCAACGGTCAATGTTGACTTTTCCAAGATCCTCAATCCATTGTTCCTTTTCCTGGCCTTCGGCGTATGGATTGGCGCTATCGTCTTGACCATTTTTGGTCCATATGATGCATGGCGCGGAAAGGTCCTCTTCTCCCTTGTCTTCGCGCCGGTGGGCTGCATTCTGCGTTTCCAGCTGTCGGTTCGCATGAACCGTTTGATCGCGGCATTCCCACTAGGAACATTCACGGCCAATGTGCTCGGCACAGCGGTTTTGGGCATCGCGTACGATCTGCAGCACTCCTCGGCGGCTAGCAGTGTCGTCGGGTGTCAAGTGTTGCAGGGCATTGAAGACGGA